ATTATTCTGGATCAGGAGCACCAGCGCGCTCTTTTCTGACAGATCCTATACCCTGAACCGGAAGTGAAGTGTCACTTCCAACTTCAATTCTCACTGGTGGCTAAAAAACAGGCGGGAGCAGGCCCTCTCCAGATCCCCCCCCCGCCCGCCAAGTAATAAGGCCAAGAAAGGGGTTTTTATTGCCACCTGCTGGTCGCCGATAATATAATATAGCAAGCAAAAATCCCAGGACACCTTCTCAGAAATCTTTAGAGAAATTGTAAAGCTGGGTCGCAATCATCCTGGTTTGTGGTTTGCTTTTCTCCTGATGGAGTTTCAATATTTAATTGAAGCATTTCACGATACATATGTGATGAATTGATTATTCCATCATGTACAGATCACAAAGACTGAGAGCATTTCAGTTTCCAGGATATTTATTTATAAAGGTTAAAGTCATATATGTACCCCTTATTCTGGCTTTCTCCGAAACACAATGGGTACCCTTGGTTCCTTTTGCTATTTCAGCTGTAAAACAACACACAATTCTTCTATTGCCATCATGCAGTATGAAAACAATAGGGCCAAAGTAAGTTTTTAGATGGAGCCGAACCAAGTGATTATTTCAGAAGTATTGCACCGTAAAACGTCTTTTAACCCAACTTTGGTACATTATTTCACATAAATTTTCCTGTGCTTTATACAGTATAGCCCCACAAGCATGGAATCAAATGGGAACTGGAAGAGAGAGAGTGTCTGAAGGGCTTGGATCGTCATCGATCATCTCTTGGAGCAAGATGCCTGATTTCATATGTAGTTTTTGGATGGGAATTGTCTGCGGTAGGGAAAACTGTAGTACAGTAGCCTATAATCAGCAGCCAGGTCATTATCTGTAGAGATTAAGGTATGTTGTTATAAAGGGAAATTACTGTACCACCTCTTCATGACACCACGCGCATGCTGAGGGATTGCTCTTAGTTCTTGTCTTCTTCCCCCAGGGGCTAAGATCATGTCACAAAGTGGTGGTGGTGGTTGTTCAAATAAGCCTCTTTAAGAGTACGTATTTAAACATCACATTCAGCTTTAGTATTAGTCCAAGCAAGCAAATCTTTTAAAGAAGTCTTTGCAAAAAATACTCCAACCAAGCAGATGCTCCCTCCTAGGCGCCTTGGACCACACTCTACATTGGTGTTTCTCAATCTTGACAACTTTAAGATGTGTGGACTTCAACTCCCAGAATTCCCCAGCCAGAATACTGGGGAATTCTGGGAGTTGAAGTCCGCACATCTTAAAGTTGTCAAGATTGAGAAACACCAATGTAGAG